AAAAGACTGAGAAGAGCGGTTGTGGGGGTTGACCTGTTACTCGCGGGACACAACAGCCATACAGTCTATTTTCACAACAATTAGTGTTTGACCAAGCAACTGTCACCTCTCAAAATATACTGTGCCCTGTCCAAACCAGTCTTGGGGTGCTGGCTGCAGCTGTGTTGAGGTGAGTCGAACTTTAAAATTTCAACATCGTAACAAGTAAGTTGTTCTGGAGATGTTTTCTCACTCAAACAGTGGACCCATAAGCCATAGTAGACATTACTTTCAATGTAGTCAGACAAGTGCAAAAGGTGAAGGAAATTCGGAATAACATTCAAGCTGGGATTGTTAAAACCAATTTATTTCCCTTATCTTATGGTGTCATTGTGTTTATTGGCATTTGATGGCCCAAGTCCAATCTTTTTAGAAACTGGGTGGACTTGGGCCCCGTTTTCAGAAACCCTATGGACTTGCGTGGAGTTACGTCCTTTGGTCCTGAAAATGATGGACTTGCGTCCTTTGTTCTGGAAAACATTGATGTCACAAAGGACGTAAGTCCACCTTTCTCCCTATATATTACCAGTACCAAAAATCTGCTGCTATGAGTCAAAAGGCATCAGAATAAGGAGCTTATTTATGTATTCATATAACAAATACCTTGAGTGCCCAAAAATTCTGGAAGTTTTTTCCTCGTCCTGAAAAATTCAGCGTGATGGACTTACGTCCCTTTGTCAGATCATCAGTGATTTTTGTTGCTGTAGGGGATTTGGAGGAGCCCGTGAGCTATGCGAGGTGCAAGGCCAGGGCGAAGGAGCTCTTCGAGACGTGGGAGCACCGCGATGCGACGATCGGCGACAACTTCCCCACCGTGAACGACTTCTACCGCGGCAGGCACCTGTTCGTCACGGGCGGCAGCGGCTTCTGCGGCAAGGTGATCGTTGAGAAGCTGCTCCGGTCGTGTCCCGACGTCGGCAACATCTACCTGCTGGTGCGGCCAGGGCGCAGGGGCCAGCACCCGGACGACAGACTCAAGGACATGCTCCAGCTACCGGTGAGTGCCCCCCGCCCTCGTGAAGACCGTACCGGAGCTTGTGGCTGACGTGCTGCTTCTGCTGCAGCTGTTCGACCGGCTGCGGGAGGAGAACCCTGCCGCGCTGAACAAGGTGCTCGCCGTCCGGGGCGACTGCATGCAGAAAGGGTTGGGCCTCAGCCCCGAGGACCGTCAGCTGCTCGCCGACAAGGTGTCCATCGTCATCCACAGCGCCGCCTCGGTGCGTTTCAACGATGCCCTCAAGAAGGCCGTGACCATGAACGTGCTCTCCACCGTCGCCGTCGTCGAGCTCGCCCGGGAAATGAAGAAGCTCTCGGTGAGAGGGCATAGACCGGCACCTGCGCGGCGAGGCCTCAGGGGAGGCCACGAGGCAAACTCTCGTATTAACAAACTCGTTGACTTTGTGTCAGGTCCTCGTCCACATCTCTACAGCTTACTGCAACACCAACATTAATCCAACGATGGAAAGAATTTACCCGACGGAACACAACTGGAGGGACGTGGTCAAGTACGTCAACCTCCCCGACGTCGACGTTCTGGACGACCTCGGAGAGAAGTAAGCGATATTCGACAGCAAATTTCTTCCGCGGTAATGGCATGTGCTTCTTTCGTGACAACCTTCTCATCATGTCATCCCTCCAGGTTTATGGGGTTCCAACCCAACAGTTACGTCTTCACCAAAGCCCTGGCGGAACAAGTCATGAACGAGGCTGCGCGGGACCTGCCCGTCATCATCATCCGCCCGTCGATCGGTAAGCTTCACATAGCGTTAAGATTGAAGTGCCAACCAATGATCATCTACTCAGAACTGTACTTGTAATCTATTTTTCTG